CGCCAGCGGAGCCCGAACCCACCTCTGCTCGCCTGCCAGCGCCCGGGAGCCCCCGCGACCCGCCTGGGCTGCTCTTGCCGCCGCCGCAGGCTCCGCTGTTCTCGCTGCCGCGGCTGAAACTGCAGCTCTCGGGATGGGAAGGTTACGGGCTCGGGAGAGCTGGCTCTTGTGCGCACACACTGATTTGCAAGTGAATGAAGTGGGAGGGAGCAAAGAGAGGAGGACTTTGTTGCCGAGGCCCGGCGCCTGCCCCCGCCCGCCCTCTCCCCGTGACAGAATGACTCCCAGTGTTTGAAGTCCGGAGCAGTTCGCTCCCCGGAACACTCCCGCAGCCCCAGGCTTCCCCTGCTTTTTCTTTCTGTTTCTTTGGGTGGGGGTTAAGACATGCTGGGAACTTATATGTGACTCCGTGTGATCTCTTCTTTACACTATCAAAGTGCACCTTGTACCGTTATCAGCAAGGGTCTGATGTTCTTTTTTAACCGACCAAGCAATTATGCTTCCCAGGGACTCGGTACTGCGTCGCGCTGTGCGATGCCAGCTTCGTGACACAGCACGCCGAACAGGAACACATATAAGACAGCCAGGTCTCCAGAGATAAGCATACCGAGGACGCCTGCTCTTCGCAACACAGACGCGAGCAGATACAGATTCGGGCCTGTCTCCCCGTCTCTCTTTCCAGGAAGACGGGGTTTTTACGTAGCCCCTGATCTCCCTTTCGGAGTGAGGAGCCCCAGGAAGTGGGAGCCCGAAGCCATACTTCCTTGGGTTTGCAGAAACGCTCTAAACCCAAACCACTCAAGCTCACCGGGGACTTAATGACTGATGCCATCTTTCTAAAAGAACTGCAACAAGGATACGCGAGTCTTGCAGAGCAGAGGGTATAATAATATTTAAGGTCTGTGTAATTCTAACGCCTCTCCGGAAAGTTATGGAAGTGGGTTAACTTCCAATTAAACTCTTTGATACACAGGTACACACATTGGATACGTACCCTTGAATGGCTATGTTTACTGTCCCACAGAAGTGATTTCTAATATTAAGGAACGGCTGCAAAAGTCTTAAACATGTCAGAGCATTATTAAAGGAGAAGAATGGCTTTCTATATAGGAGGCATAGACATGACGGAGTCAGGCGCTGGTGAATTAGGAAAATTAAATCTAATTACCACAGTGATTGCACCCGAGGTCAGTAGCATCCCAAGCCAGCTGTTTGCTATGCTGTGTGCTCACAGGGAGACCCTCTGCGTGGTACTCTAAGAAATTCTAGGCCACTTGGCCTCCTAGTGATTACACTGGTTGAAGGTTGATCTTGTTCCCAAGAGAGCTCTTACTAGAAAATCTTTTGTGTCTGCAATAGAAGTTCAGGCATTTAAATAAAGCCAAAATCAAAGTATTTCCCCTAGGCAGCCAGTGCTTCAGAGAAGTGTGTGTGTAGAATGGTTTCAGCACAGATGTTCCACACATGGACGGTGGAAAGACTTTCAGTCTATTTCTTGAAAAAACTGCTCTCTAATAAAGACCTGCCATCAAGTCACCAAAAGAGGCCAAACATTTTCTCTTCATGTAGCCATTTAAACTCATGATGAGAGGACAGGAAGAAAGAAAGCTGCTTCGGGCTCACAGTTTATGCCTCAGATTATGAATTTCTTACACAGTTAATTTGAAAGAGTAGTTTTTGTTTCAGTATAGTCCCTTATCCCTTACAAAGTCCTCTCATACTTTATTTTATTTCATTCTTCTATCAAGTGATTTTTTTTTTGCCCATTAAGACGGAGAAAACAGATTGATGGAGACCCAGCAGAGGTTAAGTAATGTGTCCAAAGCAATAAAACTGAGCAGCACAAGGAACACAATATTACTGGTATAACTGTGTGTAGAGGCATAGGCAGACACATAGAACCACAGATTATCTAAGCGGACAACTTATTATCATACATGCTAGTGAACACAGAATATATATATATGCACTAATAAAAACAGGTCACATGTTTAGAATGCCTCTAGAGATAGGTGTGCAAATTAACTGATTTTATGGTATGCCAGTGAAATTGATATTCTCTCTATTGAACCAGTTAAAAATCTCACAAAGGAAATCTCTAATTGCTTGCCATATACTATCCTTCAGACTCCATTAAGATACAAATCAAAGGTGGTTAAAATAACTACTTTTTATGAAAAGTGGACAGTTTGCATCTGAACAGTTCAGGTGGCAGCATTAAATTACACAAGGATGAGTAACCCTAGGATGTTATACTAAAGGCCTCATGAGGCTTGTGAGGCTCGCTAGTAACAGGCACCACAGTAATTATTGGTGTTGACTTATAGGATGGACGTAAATCTACAGAATTGTTTTCTTTTCATTTTAGAGGCAAAGAACTGAGTGTTACTGACTACCAGTATCTCCTATGTTTTGTTGCATTTTGATCTCTGGCACACCAGAACATGCTGGCAAGTTATGAAAGCCAATCAGAGAAAATTAAACGAGCGGGGCAGTCTTGGTGTCACCCTGTAGGAGTTTCTCCTGAAATTTAAGAATGGAAATTCTGCAGGGCCTCTGGAAAGGCCTAGGTGGTGGGAAACGGCCAGCACTCCGCTAACTGGTGTTCAGCTTTTGCTTCATTCCGCCTTCACATCCTTCTCCCCTGCTCTTCAGTCCACATGGTAGGACAGTGCCGCAGATACTTCCAGAGCTTGGCTGTCAGAAAGAGAGAGTGAGTTTCTGTGTTTGCTTCCTTTCCACTTTCTTAAGGAGGTGCTCTCAGGAGCAGCGGGCCTGCTGCTGGAGGGAGGAGGCCGCAGATTCCCCCCGGCCCCACTGGCTCTCCGGGACCAAAATGAAGGGCCTACTCCCCATGTTTTCTTTTCCTTGGCCCGTCAGCTCTCAGACTACTTCATTGTTTTATATGCCTCAGTCAAAATTACTTTACTTCTTTCCTTTTACAGCTTGCAAAGTTTCATTTTTAAAAGAGCCTCCTTCGTATACCATTACTAGGGATATTAATTTTCATGAAGAATTTTCTAACTTACACTAAAACTCTCTTCAGATAGTTAAAAGGCTATTTTATCCTTCTAATGGGGATACATATAAATAAATAATTGCAACTTCCCTGGCTTTCTTATCAATAATATACATCCGTATACAATGATTACATGGTAAAAACATTTTCATATCATTAACAATTATTCCTGATTAGAAGAAAAATTCACTTTCGAAACCCTGTGCCTAGTTAAGAATCTTATCACTGGTTTTAACCAATCCAGATCTTTGATCTCAAACTTACCCAAAATGTGTTGCTACTAGAAATAGCACATACATTACATTGCTTATGACTTTATCATCATCATGTGCACAAGTGAACAGATTTCACTGAAGAATGAATGCCTCTCTTCCACTTCTGCCTCATGTGTGCATGCTCACCTATGTGTCAGTGGAGGGGGAAAACAGCTTTAGTCACTCTAAGCATTATTGAACTGAAGCAAAGGAGACAGGAAACCTCCCTGGAATTTCCCTTTTGTAAGAGCCATTGACATCTCAATACAAGCTAAAACAAATTCACACAAATTACCTGTGCTTATCCAGGTTTCTAATCCTGGGAGAACTTCCAATGCTGTGTTTAAAGTGAGTTGGATCCCAGGATACATTAAGACATTTCCCCTTGATCATTATATTTGACTCATTGCAATAGGCAGGTTGCAATAAGCCAGGAGATTTTTCAACTGAGATAAATGCACAGCAAAATGTTATTGCCCTACACGGAATATTGTAGTACTTTGGGTATTTCAAGGTAAATAGAATACACTACAGTTTTGCTGAATAATTCTTTTTTATATTTTATTCATTGCCTTACAGTACAGTTAAATGTGTCTAATCAGATAGGAAAAGTTGTTTCATAGATTGAGGATCTAGATTGTACTGTAGCATGAAAGGACTGTTCTCATTTAGAAGAAACAGATCATTAGGAGGAAATGTCATGTGCCATGATACTCTGGTAAATAAGTGGCAGAGACCCGAATAAACACAAAATCCTACCTTTTCCTTCAGAGGAAAAAATAATTCTCCTTCCCTTTCCCACCAACCTGCCTCCCAATTATAGAAGCACTTGATGGGAAGAGTGACAAGCTCAAGTGGGGAAGACAATATAATAGCATATGTTCAAAAATATTTTGGGATTTTATAGATTGTAGGAACATCAAAATTTCACAGTATATCATGGCTGTCAAAAAAAGACAGCGATGAAAATATGAGGCTGGAAAGAAGGTTACCATATGTAGAGGTACAAGTCTTTCCTTTATACTAGACGAGGCCTTGTTTTACGGCCTCTGTTCCTTTCTGGATACCGCACAGGAATACCCTATTGTTTTTCGCTCCTCCGTGTATATTTCCACCTACATCATAAGATACATATAGAACCTTGAATAGACTTCATTGTTTATGAGTTCTTTTTCATCGGATATATTATATATTCATTGTATTACTGAAAGCATAGAGGTTTTTTTCAGTCTTGGTTATGTCAGCTTTGGTGTTTGTAGTGTCCGGTGTTTGACTGTGTGAATGAGTAGAGATTCAGATAAACTAGAATGGATTTGGTAGACAAAAAACTGGTTCATAAATTTAAGGTACTGCTTATGAGCTAAACGTGAAAAGACTAGAAAAGAGAATTATAAATACTAAAAAACTCTCCTAGGAGAGGAAATTAGACTGGCCTTTAACATTCCAGAAGCTTCAGTATGATCAACTGGTGGAACTACTGAAGATGTTACCTTTTGTTTATGGTAAGGTTCCCGTATTTTCATATTTTAACCTCACTGAAATTTCTGTACCACTCACAATGGATATGATAAGAAAGCATCATGCCATGGCATAATTGGCAGTATCTTTTACTATTCGGTGACATATAAAATAATGCTGCTGATTCCTGTCATTGGTACCTTAGATCCAATGACATGCAGACTGTAGATTTCAGCTCAATGTATGGAGGACTTTTAAACTCTTTGTGCTGTTCAAGACCAGAGGTGCTGGCAGGTTTAGGGAGAGGTCAGTCCTATCCTTGAAGATGTTCAATCATATTTTAGATAAACTGTGATTATAAATGAGTTAAAGGGTGAGACTCGGGATTAAGTGATCTTTTATATTTTTGTCAAATTCGACACTACTGAATTTGGATTCAGACTTACTTTTTGTAGTGAGAAGACAGGAA